TTGATTACTAGCTATGCCAAATAAAACGAGTACGAATAACGTACAGAAAGTAGGGGTTGGTCCACGGAGTGACCCTCTGGCGACGTAATCGCTCCTAATTTATTTAATCAAACAAAGAAGGGAAAGTGCCCGAGATCCCGAATTCCTGGGTCGACATGGTATTCGCATTACCCGAAAGCGGTAAGCATAAGGTGGCTTCTGTTAGAGGACGAGTGGAGAATCCAGACGCTTAAAGCCAGAGAGAGAACGAATACGTAGGATATCCTGGTGGAGTCGTACTGGCGCGAGAATACGAAAACGCGAGGAGATCCCGGATGCGGCGTGTCCGGGAGGAGAAATGCGGCCGCAACACACGCGACCACCACCCGAGACCAAACCAAACCAAAGATTAATGCACTACACTTACTGGGGCAATTTGCGCCAAGTGTCGGCATTGCTACTGCTAGGTTGAAACAAGGGTGGATTTTTGGGACGAACCTGAGGGTCCATCCCTTGGTTATCGTGAGGAGGCCTAAAGAATTTTCTGAGAAACTCGTATACATATAGTATACAAAATATATTTACTTAGGAAAAGTGATTAATTTGTAAAATAAAAAATGGCCTGCGGCTAGAATGCTTATCTAATTTTATATGAAAATTGTATATTCACTCTCTTATACATAACATACATAATACATTATAGAGCGCTGCAGACAATTACGAGATTTTATTTTTTAGTTGATACGAACCAACCCTGAAGTTTTGTATATCTGGTTGCCTTTGGATATTAATTCATAAAAAAGCTGCGTAAACGAGTTAACGATGTAAATATGTATTATGAAAAAAATTAACGAGATAGGATAAATCGTACGGGTTAAAATAACAGACTCTAGGATCTCTTACGTATATTATTTGAGGCATGAAAATAATAATAGGTTAAGGAAGAATGGAGTTGAATACAGTTCGTTGCGTACTCCCGAAATGGTCTTAATCCAGAGTCGCGTTTACATGGAAAGTCGCAGAAATCACGGAGCGTCTAGGAGGACCGGAGGCAGTGCGGATTTTAAGCAAATTAAGCGTGCATAATTAAAGGAGCAGGAACTCCTTGCGCCTCTCGTGTGGTCGCAAGGTACGTCTGTGCAAGGCAAGGTTAGCCATGGTTGGCGCTGAGATAACGTAAGACGCCCGTAGTAACATCTGGCCGCTATGAAGTATAAAGCGGCATGCGATATCATCCACAGCGAATGCTTAATTAAAACCTCAGACTCTGCGCTTTGCATCCCTTAGTCTCCCTTGGTCTCCCGGCAAGAAGTGCTTCTGTTGAACAACGCTACTGTCTACGTAACTATACGTACACGTACTGCATGCATATTAGCATTCGCTAAGAATGCTAAACGACATTATTTTCTTTTCCTTCACCCACCCTTATCTTGGCGTGATTGATACTCGATACATTTTAGGTTCCACGAGGGATGACGTCAGTAATAAAGTGTACCAATTGTTTATTTGTGGCGGTAAAAATTTGGTTTAACCTATCTTGGGACTAGAGTTGATTTTTTTCTTTCTTTGAGAAATGAAGGAATTTCAGTAACGTCGATGGTTTTACTCGGTGCTGCAGTCGGGGTACCTACTGGTGTTCGTAGCGAAAGAAAAGGAATTTTTACTTTTAGCTTCTAATGAGTTTGTTTTTACCAGGATGGCGCTCCGTTCTCTGGATGGGCTTTGGAAAAAGGGAAAAGTTGGAGAAAAGGGAGAAGCAAGGGCTTGGGAATGGGTGGAGAGTTTGTGGAATAGGGAGACGAAACCAACCCCTGGTCGCTAGACTCACTGCAAGCCCGTTTCAGTGATCCGCTGATTGACAGCTGAACCCCGCTTGACAACCGCCGTACCGCCTGCCATGCTAAAATGGCGACGAAAGATGGTTTATTTTTAATGGCGGAAATATAATACTCACACCGTAACACACTTTTTCCATTAATGCCTCCTGTACTCGATATTGATAACGTTAATGACAGTCATCTTCCATTGTACGCAGGCGATTTTCAATCTCTTAAATACGTATATACACCCTCTACATAAATAAGTATATGTAAGATATAGAGTAACTCACAAGACTCCCAAACACAAATCCATCGAACTTTCGGCATTGTCCATAACCCCAATCCATGGGATCATTGACAGGTGCTCGTTGACCGGTGCCATCGAGTAAAGATGACATTTCACCCAAGAATTGTAGCAGGTGCCATAAAAAAATGATTCTGTCAGATTGATCGATGACAAAAAATAATTTGATTTCAATGATTTAATTCATTGTACGGATTAACGAAAAATAAAAAATTACATTTCTTGTCAGCATATACGCCCAGGTAACTAAGTGGGATTTGGTTTGTTTATTAGCATAGGGGTATATATAGCATGGTTGAAGCAATGTCTTTTATCGGATACTGCATGGAGTTTTGAAGAAGGTAATGCCCTATATTGCACCTCCTCACAGGAAAGCCAGCGATGTCAATATATATGCAAACGTCGACATAACGATCTATCGGTACGTAAATATACAGGGTGAAAAAGGAGGGTGGCCGGAGAGGGATGAGAGTATGTATGCGAAATTCTCGTGCCGAGGGGATGGTTTCAGCAGGGAGGGAAAACTCCAGGCTTAATATAAAACTTCATTTCGCAATGGATGGTGGGTGGAAGTAAGAAGAGGATTGGTAGATAGAAATGCCAGTGTCATCGCAAAGAGGGGATGTCGCTAGGGTCCATGAAGGGTAGTTATGTACAGCCGAGTTCGATAACGATATAGTAATCTGTGAAGAAATAAGATACAAAAATTCTATACGACCCATTAACAATGCTCTATCTTTGAGTATACGAAAAATTAAAATCAAGTTTACGTCATATTAAGAAAATGATATAACCGATCTGTGAATCGATGGTCCATCGGAAACTGATAAAAGTTGGTGAAACGACGCGGCCGCCCGATAAGCCCAAGTGAAAGTTCATTGATAAAAAAGAGAGACCAGTGGCCTTCGGGGTTGCTTTTATTGCCTGAAACGAAATAAATGAGCCACCACCGCGTGCGCACCCCTTTTCCCATCCCTTACTCAGCCGTTCGCCGCTTTAAACTTCTTCTCATCATTTCGTATTTCGTGGCGCATTCTTCGTTGCGAAAAATAAGGGCAACTTCGTTTCTCTGACGCGAGGTGAGAGAGGGAGGGAGAAAGAGAAAAAGAACAAGTTGCGCAGCGAGCGATGAAACTTTTAATAAATGGCAGAGTCGATATGAAGTATAGGACTTTGACATATCGTGTGTCTGTAATGTATAGTTAAATCTGGCGGCAGATGTGACGGGTGCTCTCGTTTACCCTGCGCCCTCTATGGCATTTGGGGATGCGAGAGGACCCTTGCAGACTTACAGCCTCTCTGAAATTCACGTCGCTACTGAAATTTCTACATGCAATTCATATTCGTCTATATAATAATTTTAGGAATTAGTAAAAAAAAAAAATAATTTTTTTTACTTCACCCTGTTTTCAAAGCTAATTGACTTTAATGGTCATTAAGATATTCCGAATGGTACTACTGCCCCAGTTTTCTCTGGGGTTGGTCTCACAGCTATCGATGGGAGTGGGAATTGTCACGAAGGGTGGATTCGCATCATAAGGGTAGTGGCACGAATTTTTTGAAACGCTGCTGAACTTTTCGATCAAAGCGCCTGTCCAAATGAGAGCTCCTCCACAAAGCGGATCAGGGTAATCTGTCATCAAAGCTGCCCCACCGTGTCTCCGTGACACCAGCCGGCGCCCACAGCAGCTCCGACCGTTGATACAGCGCCGTACGGTTGCATCGGGTATGTATACCTACACTTTACTTCTTTTCGTATGGGTAATTCAAAATTGGTAAAGCTCAATTTTAAGTCTGAATTTATTTTCAATATGCGCTAAATTCACGGTCGTTGAATTTAGTCAGTGAACGTAGGCGGGCGAGTGATAATAATTTGCGTGAAAAGTAAGTTTTGCAATAAAATTTATTTTCATCCACGTTCAAGATAGATGTCGGCGAATCAAGAATTGTCAAGGTGGCCTTTATGACCTCGGCGCAATTGTACGTACAAGCATAAGCATTAATTTGGAAAAGTACTTGCGTATACAGGAAGCTCTACTTATGAGATCTCTTGGAAATTTTCTATTTTTATGGAATCGCTGCACTTTGTCAGACACATTTTTATGTCTGGCTATAGCTTAAACGTATTTTGTGGAAGTGGAGTTCTGTGGGAACGAGGACTTCAGGAGAAGAGATGATGGAGCCGAGGCTGGAGCAATCTCAGCTGATCTCAGAGGCCACTGATCTTCTCAGTTTTGTCTGCGCGAATCGTAATGTCTGTTGTAAAATTATATTTCAATAATAGACAACAGCAAAATATCAGTGTCGACCATAATAAAATATTTTACAACAACGAATATTATGAAATCTAATTAAAACAAACATCAAAAACTATGTAAATAAATACCAAAGCTTACCATATTAAGAATGGCATCCTCATGCATTATATCAATAAGTCCAAATCTGACAAATTCCAAAATAATAATTCGTGCTCCAACACTCTGTATTACGAATCTCAAAGGGTTGAACAAATGGGAAAATTCTTGTATAAAAAATCCATAATACATACCTATCCTAATAATGCCAAGGAAAAAGATCCACTGACGATCCAATAAAGTACCAGACAAAGACTGCAAGAGCAAAGACCAGTACCGTGTGAGACAAGCTACAGTAAAGAGCAAAAAAAAAAGGAGTAACGACTGGTATCAACCACAACTACAGGAGAGTAAAACGTAAAAGAAAAGAGATTCATGAAAAGAGGAAGAGGACCGCGTGGTCGAGCACGTGAGGATGTCCCCACCGAGAAGACCGGATAGGAACGGCGCGCTCGCGCGTCCCGCCCACCGCCTGGCAAGCAGCACGGCCGCCCTTGTTCGCCTCGTGTTCGAGTGCACGAGAGTCGGCCGCTTGCACTCTCGCCGTTCGGACGGAGAACGGAGAGGCCGCGTACCCTCGGAAGCCCTCCGCCGAGCCCTCCAGTCCTCCAGTCCTCCAGACCACCAGCAGGCCGGCGTTCCGGCACCGCCACCACCAGACCGACCGCCAACCCGCCTACGAGCGAGAGGGTTGAGCTCGTGGGGCCTGATACCGCTCGGTGATTGGTCGACGGGAGTACGTCACGTGACCTCCCAAGAGACCGCTGCTTCCACGGAGTCCCGAAGAAAAGAGACAGTAGTAACAACACAGACGCGTTACGGAGAACGTTGGAGAAGCGAAAAAGATCGCGAGGATTTTGCTGGTACGAGTGAGAGGACCCTCCTTCGTCTCCACCCTCTGGTTCAGCACCCTTTCACCTACGCCTCCACGTCCACGCTCACATCCACATCCTGTCCGCCACCTATAGTCCTGATCCTCCTCATCCTCCGAGGCCATCCAGTTCTCCTTGAGCAGAGCGGGGTCCTTCTACCTCGTCACCAAAGATCTCGGCTCACGCGCGCTCTGCCCACCTAGGCTTCTTACCTCCGTCTCGTTGCGGCCCATTGCGATTGTCGATCCTCGAGTGTCGCGTGATCTGTTTGTGTCGGTCGATCTTGGTGACAGTGCAATCTCCGATTGATCTTATTTACGTTCGACGATCGCGAATCTTATGATACACTTCGAGCCTACCACAGTGATCAGTGCTACGTTCACGGTGAAATAAAGTGTTGCTTCATATTAAACCGAATCTTTAGTCTGCTTTTTATCTTCTGCTCTATGTAGCCAAGTTCAGGTTGGTACCATTGGAAAATAAAAGTTTATCATCGTCTTGGGATAATACAGTGCGATGCTACTCGTGCCTACCTTGCGTCACGGATTAAGATACGTGTACTGGCTGTCATGAAGGATTATTCGGGGTTCTTCGTATTTTCGAACCGCGAGGTCAGCACTGTGATAACAAGTGATTGTGTCAGAGGGTGTTCGCCCTTCCATGCGCGGTAAGGATCAGCCCTTGCACCAGGAAGACACTCTCTGTGCTGCCGGACATCTACGTAGGCATATACCGGTGGAATTGCTCGCTCGTCATATTCCCGAGTACCAGGTCGAGGATAAGGAGCTCGTGGCCGTGAAGACGAGGCCCCCAACACCCGTCCTGGCGAACGACGGCTGCGGAGGGACCACCGGAGGGGGTGGCTTCTGGCTGGCCTCGGTGGCCGCGGGGGCCGGGGCTGGTGCAGGACTACCCCCGCACGGGGCCCACCCCGCCATGGATCCAAATTGTGGGCCCGCCGAAACTGGCTTCATCAACAGTCAACCGTCCATGGCGGAATTCATGACGGCCCTGCCGCAGCTTGCGGCCGATGGGGCCCTTCAACACTCGCCTGGAGCTGGGGGCCCTATGAGTCCGGGCACTCATCATCCGGGCTACCACACCATGATGGATCCTCATAGTGTGCCCGATCCCTCGGGCGTCAATGTTCCCGAGTATCCTTGGATGAAAGAGAAGAAGACTACGAGAAAGAATAATCAGCAAGGTGAGACCTTGAGCGTTGCTTTATGCTTTGTTTAATTGCTTCTTCACGTAAGGTTAGGCCTTTTATATCATCTCGGACTGTACCATCCTTTCTGGTATCTGCGTCCGTGACGCGTTCGGTAATTGCTCGTGAAATTTTTGAAATCCAAGAAGGCGATCTACAAAATATTTCAATTTAAGACTGGACCCGTATAATCAAAGAGTGCCGTTAAGTAACATTTAAATGTCGCATTGTCTCGCTATCGCGGGAATACCTGGTCGAATGAACAACAGTCAACTACCACGAATCCGTGCGTAACAGCATTTCAAACTGTACGACCCATTTTCAATGGCATTAATAACTCACGATACTGTAACCACAAACAATTGAAAGGTTAAGCCACGTAGGAAATGGAAATAATTAGATCTTCGCTTTACCGTTGCTACTGCGGTACGTTGCATTATTTTCACTTAAATTCAAGCCCTATTAATTGTACAGTGAAACGTACATGGTAAATATATAAGGCTTTCCAGAGACTTATTGAGGCCAGATGCACCGACTGAAGTTAGCCCGTCCATTTGATTTCAATGGCAGAACCAAGGTGGCGCGTTTGTACTGTTATAAATAACCCCATATATTGTATACGATATACATTATATTCTATATACAGCATATAACACCATTATCGTCTATAACCATAGAACTGAATAAAATCGAAAGCCATACATTAACGGCCGTCGAAACCGTCTTCGTGGGAAACCGTAACTCTTCCTATAAATGAATTCTTCACCCGTCGAAAACCACCATAAACGCTATCTACAGGTAGTTACAATACCAAGCTCAATCCTTTATTACACGCATCGAACTCACATGAACTCGCGCTCCTTTCACGTGCCGTATCCTGGTGAATTCGAAAGACCTTAACGGTTCCCATAGACATCAAACGATGAAAAGGATTCTTCATAAAGACACAGAAGTCGTCTTACATAAAAATTCTATTATACTCGTTCGTATGAGTAGCAAAGAATTAACAGTCGGACATATACCTATAGAGTAACGTAAATTTGGTAGAAACTTGTCACGCAAAGTGACTACGTATTTTGTCAGTGTCGTCGGCGCTTATATCAAGGTTACTTCATGAGGTCTGCTGATATTTTAACTGACAGAAACTCGGAAGATGTCAATGAACAAATCGTAACGTGCTTACCACTTAGGCGAAGTCGCGACTTTGTACTCGGTTACTGTACTTCGCTGCGGGGTATCTCCTCCGTCGGCTAATGACAGCCCTGGGCCACTCCTCCTCTGCCTCGCGTAGTCGTTAAACCACAATGCATCACATCTGGAGAGCATCACTCGCGAAAACCGCACATTTCCAAGCATTCGCAAACAAGCTCTAAGGAAATTAGACTGTATCGTTTCTTCACTTTGAAATACGATGGTCAACACGTGCTGTGGTTCCCTTGCGACCCCTTTCAATGCTGCGGGACTAGCGTGGATCTTTGGAATGAACAATTGACAGGAAATTTACTACGTGGTTTTTCTACCCTTCTCGGAAAAATTATTGTTTCCCAGAACAGCCTTAACCAAATTTTTACTGTCTCCGGTATATATAGGAACAACGTGCTTTGGGTCTGTTAACCCTTTCTTCAGGTCACCATAAGTGGAATTTCAAACTGAATTTTTATAAAGCCACCCATCATGTTCCATTACGCTTCTATAGCAGTTGAAAGACATTAAAATTGACATAATATGAAATTTTAGTTTTCATATAAGTTTCAAAAATCATAACATATGAATATAATGAAAAAGATCTAATACTAAAAACCTTGATAAAAAATAATGAACCAACCAAATATAAAAGTATTTTCAGCCGCTGAAATGTAATTAAAATATAAAAAGAGTCCCGTAAAATAAAAATTCTATAGAAAGTAACACCGTATATGTCCTACAAGATCTTTCGCCGTAATACATACCATAGAATCTCTGTAGATAGTAAACCAGATGCTACTCCACCAACTTGTTGGCTATTGTCAGCCTATCGAGTAGCAATAAATCTGCAGAGGTCTAGGCACGTTCCGTATCCCATATACCGAAGTCCAACGTCCCCCAAAAAGCAGGAACCACCTACGTGGATGTACATGTATACGCAATCGAGGGGTTCGCAAGTGAACGCGTGGTGCCGCTTTGGTGGGGAGGAGAAGGCATGAGGTTGCGATCCGACGCCGAAGGGTAGAAGGAGTTTATGGGCCACGAGGGTCGGCCGTTTAACAACAAGCGGGCTCCTCTGGTTGCGGTGACAATTTAACGACCTGGCGATGGTTCGTTCGGTCCGGAGGAACGAGAAGCTCGTCCACGGGACGAGAGAAGATTAAGTGTTTGGCACGGAGGTTAACCAGGCGCTGGCCGGCGGTAACACGCGGAATCATCTGTAAATTGAGCGCCGGGCCAAACGGGAGCGTCGGGACGGCCATAACTCACTCGGGGTGCCGCGCCAAATGCAGGAGGTGGAGGTGGTCCGTCGTTGGACCTCAGGACCGTCCCTTATCATGCAGTGACCACCGCTGATGTCCCTGTGATTTGTGAGACAGTAGATTGACCCGAGAGGACCGTGATACCGGATAAGGATCCTGGGACAATTGAAGATTATTCCTTGGTGAAATATTTACGATCAACTATTTTTATGAAAATAAAAGAAAAATACACAAGGCTGACAGAGATAAAAAAAAATGTATAATGATTGCGTCGACAGACCGTGAATCATTACTGTACTGCAGTGAGAAGGATTTCAGGTAAATAACACAACTTGATGAAATATTGATATCCACCTTTGTCATGTATCACCAGAATGACGTAATACGTAAAAGGTGGATATTTTTCGTGACGCTTTCGTATTACTGTCTTCGGTTCGTCATTAAGCCTTGTATATGTAGGATGATAATCTACAGCCATAGGTACTACCAGGGAAGAGGTAAATTACACTGGGAAGATATTTCTATGAATAAGAAAGAAGGCTCTATCGTATTGCGCAAGCGGCACACCTCTATCTAGCTATTATCCCAGGCACGGTTACTCGAGTCGGAACTTTGTACGTTATTAACCCACGATAAGTCTTCGATTATAATTGCAATGAATAGTCACAGACAATGAGAAGTCGTGATGGAGGCTTAACGTTCGTTTGAATTTTCATTAATTTTAAATTCTATTACTTCGGCAACCTATTATGGTTCTGATCTGTAACCCAACCTAACCTAAGATTTTCTATTCTCTAAAGCAATCCCCATGGACTCGTATTGAGCAGCGAGACCTACCTCGCGAATACGTCTTATCGGAAAACGCTAACGAACGCTGTCCTTGGTGGCACCTTGCTCGCATTAAATTCCAATCTGTTGCATCGACGTGCCCTCGTCCTCGCTACGTGTTTTAGGTGCCGAGGATAAGGGGGAAGACGCTGATTAGTTGAGTTATTTGCCGGGAGGCCCGCAACTGATGTCTATACTTGACGGTAATTCTTGGCGGTAGTCGCAAAAACACGATTCCGCGGGTGTTTTTGCGACGCCTTGTTCCGGGCGTCTCATCAGTCACTGAAGCCACGCCAGTGGCTGATGCTCAGGGCCGCGAAGACCTTAGTCGGGGCCCTGGACGCGCTGAGACGCTATACGGTGTATGGGAGACTCTTGCCAACACGCCGATGTGTCAATTAATCCCTTGCATCCCTTGGGATCCATGTGGATGCCTGGGATAGGATATAGCTATACCCTTATATACGTAGACTGTGGACTTCTGGAGAACTCCAGCAGTTTCAGGCGTCGGGACGCCCTCGTCTCCTTTCGCCCTTACATGCTCGCGCTTCCCCAAATTAATCTAGTAATAACGACAGCCGGTAATCTGCGGCTGTTAACAATCGCGTATTATTAAACACGCGCAACCCCTAACAAGAACACCCTTAGACGGAGGTATGTTCTTGAGGAAGAAAAAAAAGGAGATTTCGCGTTATTACGGAATTTCACGAAGGACTAAAATCATGCTTTCCTTTGTTATAAGTAATTGGTACATATTGAAACACAACCGAGGGTCACTTTAACCTGGAATTAAATAGGATGAAGTTGCCATGGAGCGACCCTTGGTTTGGCTGATACATATACGTCAGATGCGGAAGACTGAGATCCTTGTACGTTCGGGACATCGAGAAATGAAGAGAAACTTTGAGAAAAGGAAGAATGAGAAAAAGGGACTGTGTAATCCCCGTAGAAATGTCTAATTTAAAGATTCGTCGGGAAACTAAATCCAGGGCGAATTGCAGATAAGTTTTCCTTGAAAATCCAACCTGAAAGGATCCTTCGTCCTGCGGGAAGTGAGTGTGGAAAGGTGGATGGAAAGGATCAGACGATCCTGAGATCGGATAAGTTCGGTTATCTAGGAGAACCTGCTGTGGGTATACAGAACTACCTATCCGCGTCCTGTATCCAAGGAATGTCTGATGATTTAGGCTAGCGTAATGGTAACGTCAGTGGATTTGAATTCAGCCAACCAAAGGAACCGGATAACTTCGTTCTGGTTTACGTCGAACAACATAAGACTTCACTACCCTAACATACTTATCATCCGATCTCGCGAATCCTCCGGGAAGCGGAAGGAGACCGTCATGAAACTCGGACCTCTTGACTGGGAGATTTGGCAAAGTTACCGTTATTGTTGGTACGAAGGAAAAAAAAAAACGAAAAATTTTTTTTAGTATTACACAAAAATTATACAAACAATAGAGAAAATTAAGGTAATCCAGAATGACGTTCTTAATAAATAAAGAATTTATACAGTAGATTAAACGTAGTAGCTCTTATGAGGGTTCTGAGAAAAAGTGGGAGAGGGTAAGGGGCCTGCAAAAAAATATCGTGACGACGTCACGGGACGTGGAAAATACGACGATGATCTCGAGTGGAACGACGCTCTCGTTGAGGACGTCGAGAAAAATTCGTCTTCCGTCGTGTCGCACAAGAGAAATAAGCATCTGCAAAACGGAGGAA